CAAAGTACTCAAACTCAACAGAAAAACAAAACAAAACAAAAAACAAAGAAAATAATACCACTAAAAAATGGGCAAAGGACATGAATACACATTTCTCAAAAGAAGACATACAAATGGCCAACAGATTTATTTAAAAATGTTTAATATCATTAATCATCAGGGAAATAAATAATAAAAACCACAATGAGATACTGTCTTACCCCAGTTCAAATGGCTATCATCAAAAAGACAAAAAATAACAGATACTGGCAAGGATGTATAGAATAGGTAGCTCATACACTGTTGATGGGAATGTAAATTAGTACAGCCATTATGGAAAACAGTACAGAGACTTCTCAAAAACAAAAAAAATGGAACTACCATAAGATCTAACAATCCCACTACTGCGTATTTATCCAAAAAAGGAAGTCAGTATATCAAAGGGTTACCTGCACCCAATATTTATTGCAGCACTATTCACAATAGCAAAAATATAGAATGAACTAAAGTGTTCATCAGCAGATGAATGGGTAAATAAAATGGAATACTATTCACACAATGGAATACTATTTAGCTGTAAAAATGAAATTCTGTCATTTGCAGCAACACAGATGGAACATTATATTAAGCGAAATAAGCCAGGCACATAAAGATAAATAGCACATGTTCTCACTCATGTGGAAGCTAAAACAGTTAATCTCATGGCAATAGAAAGTAAAATAATAGTTACCAGTGGCTGGCAAGTGTGTGGGGTAAGAGGAATGAATAGAGGTTGGTTAATGGGTACAAACACACAGTAGATAGAGGGAATAAGTTCTGAGGTTAGATGGCAGAGTCAAATGACTATAGTTAACCACAATTTATTGCGTATTTCAAAACAACTAGAAGAGAGGGCTTAAACTTTTCCCAGCACAGAGAAATAATAAATACTCAAGGTGATGAATACCCTAAATGCCCTGACTGGATCATTATGTATTCTATGCATGTAACAAAATATTACGTGTGCCCCATAAGTATGTACAAATATTATGTATCAATTAAAAACAATTTTAAAAAGAAAAGAAATTTGTTCAAAGTTTTCTTACTAGCTCTCTTAAATGTCAACCAAAGGATGAAAACGTAAAACATACATTTACTGTTAATATGGTGTTAAAATCCCCTTTATTGTATGGCTTAGGGACTGTTCAGTTTTCTCTACAGTTTTTTTTTTTTATTTTTAAAATTTACTAGTTTGATTTTTTGTTGATTGTTCAAAAAATGTCATTTTTTGCACACAAAAAAATGTATAGATCAAAGAAAGAAAATTATATTGAACAAATAATGAAGAAATACTTAGGACACTGTCCTAGTTTTAAAATGGCAGTTGATACTTCAGAGTTGCTAAAGTTTTTTTGTGTTTTGTGTGTTTTTACCTCAAAATCTCAGATTTAATGAGAACTACTGAAATTTGAAGATGGTCCTGAATGGAAAAAGATGGAGGACAAAGGTGAAATGGACGAATAGAGAAACTTTAGCAAATGTCTCAGTTCCACAGCAGCCTCTTTCCGGTTTTGAAAATGAGTCCTTGCAGGTGTGTTTCCTATCTTGCTTTCTTGCTCAAGAAGAATGTTTATCATTTTCTGAATTTACCAGCAATTGGTGTGTGCTGAGGGCTCATTTATTACAAAATGTCGCTAACTCACTCCTGTCCTCTTAAATTTAAAACAGCTGCTACTCACTGCCAGGATTTAAATCCTCACAGACAGATTTCCAGACTCTCTGTATGCCTGTATTACACTTTTGTTAATAATAATATCTGTCCATCAAGGTGACAAGGGTACATTGTGCTTCTACGCACATATTTTCTCTGTCCGTATATAAAAAAACTAAAGCTTTCATTCTGTTAATACAAACCCATGATTTAATGTTTTTAAACACCACTGATGGTTGGTGCCATTTGAAGCATTACAGTTTAGTTTTGCTTCAAGCATCATAACTTCCAACATTGTTCTTTTCCCATGGAGTTATTTTTTTAAAAATATTATCTCTGAATTAGAATAGCTCATTTCCTGAGTGAAAGTAGCAGAGGGATCCAAACTGAATGTTAAAAGAGCAAATTTGGAAAAGGAAATTTATTCTCTAATTTTAAATTGGATTATAATTTGTTTTTTCACATTACATTTTCACAATTTAGAATTTACAATCTTCTCAATATTTATTTGTAAAGAAAGTACAACTTCAACTTTTTCAATGACCACTTCACTGCTTTAAAATATATGAAAATATGAATTTTGACATAATCATTAAATTCTTGGATTTTCAAAGATATAATTTTCATTTTACCTTGTTTTTACATTGTTACCTTATAAAAAAGAAATAATTTTGTTTCTTTCCATTAGATTTTCTTCTGGGACAACAGTTCAGTTTCTATAAAGAGAGAGTAATCTGTTTTGAAAAATGCTAAAGATTATTTTCATGCATAAGATAAATCACTGAGACAGTAAAAGATTCAAAAGGCACTTCATGTTCTACCAGAGTGAAACCCAAATCATTCTCCTCCACAGTGAATTCATGGTTTCCTGCAAGATAAGATCTCATCCTGTTAAGGACTTTATCTTTGAAGGAAAAAAGAACATAATTTCTCAAGGGAACTCCAGTATCATAATTCATAAAATCAAAGATATTAATATACACAGCTTTTATTTTAAAATAGTCATCCAAGGCTTTGGAACCTACAATATAAAGTATGGATGATAAATTGTAATATGGTAAATATGGAGAAGTGAAAAAATAATGTTTAAAAGTTTTCATTCTGATGAACAAAATTAAAGTGCTCAGTAATCCTTAATTAATACATTTAGAATCCCTTCCTTAGTGATGAGAATTAACTTTGCAATTTAATTTGACACTTTACAGTGTGAAAAAGAAAGATAAAAAATAAGCCTCTTGGGAATGGAAAGAAAATTTCCAGTCTCTCACCAGCCAATTCAATTTAATCAGGTCTTTCTCTTCTTTTTTCTAAACCATTTGTGTTTCCACACCCAGCCCTTTCCATTTTCTGTGTTTTATAAACAGAACTAGCTTTAAAGATCTGGGGTTTGGATTTTATTTTATCTTGAAGTGTATACTAGATTTGCTGCAGGTCAACATGGTAGTCCATCATTTCAAAGGTTTTTTTAAAAATAGACTCTAAAAGAAGACATATGGTATTCTAGATATAAGACACCAGGAACCAAGTATGGCACAAATTTCCAAATGTTGAATACTTTTGACAGTGTCCAGCTTATCTTGGTATTTATTTGTTCATTATTCATTCATTTATTGATTCATTCACCAAAAATATATTGAGAATCTATAATGCACAAAAGACAGCATAGGGTTTAGGATGTAATCTCTACCTAGAGGCACTCATGGCTTAGTAGGAAGGTCAGATATGTAGACAAAGAAGTTTCAGTTTTAGATGTTATTATAAATTATTACATAAAGAGTTGTATGGTGCTATGGGGAAAAAAATGAGAAGACTTCCCAGAGCAGGTGACATCTGATACAAGGCTTTAAGAAAGAACAGAAAGATAAGCAGAAGGTGAGAAATTTACCCTTGGCAGACAGAAGACCCTTTGCAAAGAAATGGGGATGGGGGATTGGGATGCAGACATCTGAGGTTGCCTGAAGGGCAGAGTAAGTGGTGACAGAGGAAGCTGAGGAGAGAGAGAAAAGGATTGGAGCCAAACTTTCTGTGCCAAATTAAGGACTTAATACTTTAGTCTGTTTGAAAGGGTTTTAAGAGGAGAAATGACATAATCAGCTTTAAGATTATAGTAGATCAGACTCCCTAAGAAATGGTCTCTGAAACTCTGAGATTTGCATCCAGTAATTCATACAGGGAATAATTTCGGGGACATTACCTGTAAGGAAGCGAAGAGAAGCAGGGAGGGAAGAAGGAACACTGGGCTGCCATGCAATAGATATGATTTTTCCCCCCTGGTTCCCATTCTCTCTCCTTAGGGTTGTATACAAACCCGTAAACAATGCGGAAGAGCCTCTGGTCTTCAACGCTGGTGGCTGCCTCACCTGGTCATTCTTGCCCATGGCCCCATGTAGTCCATTCACAGATGTGAAGCCTTATGCCTCTGGGTCAGATCTGGCCTCAGGATTGTCTGTCCAGAATCCTAACGTGGGCCTTCTGAGGTCCAGTTTTCCTGGGCACACATACTTATGGTCCTGTGTACAAGTGAGTCATTGACAAAACCTGCAGTGTGTGTGTGAACCCCCTAGTAATCCGTCTTTTTTTTGAGACAGGGTCTCACTCTGTCACCCAGACTGGAGTACAGTGGGACGATCACAGTTCACTGTAGCCTTGAACTTCTGGACTCAAGTGATCCTCCTGGCTCAGCCCCCCAAGTAGCTGGGACCACGTGTGCACAGTACCATGTCCGGCTAATTTTTAACAAATTATTTTTCTAGAGAGAAGGTCTGGCTACATTGGCTATACTGGTCTCAAACTCCTGGCCTCAAGTGATCCTCCTTTAGCCTCCCAATATGCTGGGATTATGGGCATGAGCTACCGCACCCAGACAGCCAGTGGTTCTTGAAGAAAGAATCCTGGACCAACAGCAGCACCTGAGAATTGCTTTTCATTTTAAAGTTTGTCAGGCAGCTCTAATTCATTGTTTTTAAATCTAGAACAATGAAGTATGACAATACAGATTTTGAGAACATCCATAATATAAATATACTGCAATGGTATATGTCATATAAAAACATTTTAATGTATTTATGGTATTAAACTCTGCTTACAATAAGTTTATTTTTTTGAGACAGAGTCTTGCTGTTGCTGAGGATAGAGTACAGTAGCACAGTCTCTGCTCACTGCAACCTCCACCTCCTCGGCTTATGCAATTCTCCTGCCACAGCCTCCTGAATAGCTGGGACTAAAGACACATGCCATCATACCTGGCTAATTTTTATATTTTGAGTGGGGGGGGGTTTCACCGTGTTGGCCAGGCTGGCTTTGATCTCCTGACCTCAAATGATTCACCCACCTCAGTCTCCCAAAGTGCTGGGATTACAGGTATCCGTCGCCCCACCTGGCCTAAACGTTACGAACAGTAAGTTTCGAGTTAATTCATTAGAGAAATTACCAATCTAATCTCTCAACAAGCTGAGAAAAGCTTCTTGGAGCAGGTGGAATTTAAGGAGTTCAAGGGCAGAATCTTCTGGCCCTTCTCCTTCCTACAGGCTGAGGATCACCAGTTAGGCTGAAATCCTGGTGACTTTGGGAATGTAGGTCATGCATGACCAAGCAGCAGGATGGAAGGAGCCTGAGGCCAAGGCCTCACCCTGGGCAAACTGACCCTGGACCACCTACGTCCAGATATTCTTAAATAAAATAAATTTGAAGCCTGTTTAAGCCTGTTATCTTGGTGTGCTCTCATTCACTAACAAGTTATCCCAACTAACGTTAATAATATCAGTAGTAGTGCCTATTGTATGACTAGGCAAGAGACTCTCACCATAACAGATTAGATACCCACATTCTATGCAGCCTTGGAGTTTAGTTTTAAATGTAATCAAAAAGTGACTGCTATTACCATTTGTGGTATAGAATAAAACGTGAATGTGATTGTTAACAAATATTCACCTCCCTTGTCTCATGTATTATGTGAGAAGAGAGGGTCCCAGGGAAGGAAACACATGGGGCTCTTAGCTAGGTAAGACTGTGTATTCTGAGTGCCATCAATACAACATTATACATGCAAGGCCACACTGGGAACCCAATCTCCTATTTTACACTTCAATTTTTCCTAAGTATTTTTCTCTTTTGTTTAAACAGCAAAAGGTGACACCTTAACCGATAATTCCTAATGTACAAAAAGTTTCTTCTCCAGAAGATAGTTATAAAAATTGTGAAAAATCTATTCGTAGAGGCAAATGTAACTATTAAAAATCATGAATTTGTGCACAACATTAATGAATTTCTGAGCAAAGCTGTTCATTTTGCAGGTTTTATGATCATTCTTAAACAGGAGGCTTAAATGATCAAGCTCTTCACTTGAGAGCTATCATAAACTTGAGTGTCTTCAGGGGGCAAGCAGGTAGGTTAAATATTACCCAGGTGGGGTTATAGGAAAATGTGGAACATCTGTGCCTTTGAACCAAGCAACCTCATTCCAATAATAAATGCCCTGAGTGAGTGGGGGACCAATATCGTCAGAGCTTCTGATTTTTCAGAGAAAGCCAAAATACTTGTGATATGGTTAGGTTTCGTGTCCCCATTCAAATCTCATCTTGAATTATAATCCCTACAATCCTCATGTGTCAAAGGGGAGACCAGGTGGAGGTAATGGAATGATGAGGACAGTCTCCCTCATGCTGTTCTCCTGATAGTGAGTTCTCAGGAGATCTGATGGTTTTATAAAGGGCTCTTCCCTCTTCAATCACTTCTTCCTGCTGCTGTATGAAAAAGGTCCTTGCTTCCCCTTCTCCTTCCCCGTGACTGTAAGTTTGCTGAGGCCTCCCCAGGCATGCTGAACTGTGAGTCAAACCTCTTTCCTTTATAAATTATCCAGTCTCAGGCAGTTCTTTACAGCATCCTGAAAATGTACTAATACAACTTTCTTATTAAATGTGTTATCTTCTGATATTCAACATTTAAAAAACACAGCATGAATCTAACCAAACACCTCTGTGAGCTGAGTGCCGCCTTCAACTTAAAGTGTAATTGCAATTAATTAGACTGGAGTTTGCAAAATCAGACTTTAAAATTTTACTTTAATTTCTCCTTAATATAACTGATTTAATGGATTAAAAATGGCCTGAACCAAACATGAAGGGTGGAAAATAAACGACAATTTGTCAAGCAGAGAAGGAGCGTGCTGGACGAATTGCCAAGGGGAGCAATCACAGGCCTTTAGAGGCAGGTAGAACTGGGACAAAATCAGAGCTGTAACTTTGTTTTCATAGGCCATTAGGGTCTTGGGGACAGCCAAGAGTTTTGGTGACAATAGTAATAACTTTTGACTCCTAGATTCTATCCACCTGTCACCCCATTGGGCGGATGACCCTCCTTCTTCAACTGGATTAAAGAAATTTGTGAAATTCCTTTTGTGTGTCAGAAACTGTCTTTGTATTAAGGATACAAAATTGACTAAATCACAGTTTCTGTTTTCAAAAGATTCATAGCTGAGTGGGGATAAAAAAAAGTATAAATAATTATGTGTTATTAAATCTAAGGTGCTACCAATTATAAGAAACTATTTTTTTTGTGCCGCTTAAAATTAAGCTATGATATTCTTCAATTTTAAGATGAATTCTAATTTCAGAGATATTTTAATGTTAAAAAAGAAGCGTATGTTAATAAATACCGTATGTGCTATAGGAGAAGTTGTATTCAAGAACAGGGAGAAGAAATGATCTACCCATTGCGCAAAGCAGGGAGATACAGTAAAGTTTGTAAGGCTGAAATGGGAGTCAGATTACTTGAAGCAATGTAACTATCTTAGTGTGCTTGGGCTACCACAGCAAAATACCACAGATGGTGGGGCTTAAACAATGGAAATTTATTTTCTTATAGTTCTAGAGGCTGAAAAGTTCAATATCAATCAAGATCTTGCAGATTTGGTTCCTTGCTGAAGTCCTTCTTTCTGGCTTGCAGATGAGTGCCTTCTCACTGTCCTCATGTTGTGGGAAGAGAAAACAGAGAGCTCGGTTCCTCTTTTTCTTCTTATAAATACACCAATCCTATTGGATTAGGACCTCACCCTTATGACCCCATTTAATCTTACCTCCTTAGTTCATTTTTCTTACTATAATAAAATGCTACAGACTAGGTAATTTATAAAAAACAAATTTATTTAGTCACAGTTCTGGTCTGGGAAGTCTAAGATCAAGGCAACAGCAGACTGGGTTGTCTGGTGAGGGCTGTTCTCTGCTTCCAAGATGGCGCCATGATGTTGCATCCTCCAGAGGGGAGGAACACCGTGTCCTCACATGGAAGACAAGCCCTTTGATAAGGCTCCACCTTTATGACTTAATCCCCTCCTAAAAGTTCCTCTTCTTAACGATACTACACTGGTGGTTAAGTTTCAACACAAATTTGGGAGGGGACACCAATATCCAAACAATAGGACCTTCTAAAAACCCTATCTCCAAATACAGTCACACTGGGAATCAGGACTTCAACACACAAACTGAGGGTATGGGGGCAGAAAAGACACCTTTCAGTCCATAGCAGTGACCTATGGCTAGTCACTCAATCTCACTTTTCCCCTCATCTGTAAAATAATAGTAGCTACCTCATAGAGTTGTGAAGATTGAAATATTTCATATGGAGTGCACCGTGGTATCTCAGATCTAGTACGTGCTTAGTAAAGGTTGGCTGTTATCAGCAGAGGTAATTAATGATAGAATTTGAACTCCAAGAATCAGTAGATCTTCTCCAAGGACTAAGAAAGAAAGTACATTCCAGGAAAGAACAGAATACCCAAAGACCTAAGGACTGTTTTGGAACATTTTGCCTGTCTGCTGTGACGTCTTGATGTAGTTAGTGAGGTTTTTTTCCCTTGAGAAATTAAAAGTCTTTTCTTTTCTTTCTTTTTTTTTTTTTTTTTTTTTTTGAGACAGGGTCTCACTCTGTCACCAAGGCTGGAGTGCAGTAGTGTAATTACAGCTCACTGCAGCCTCAACCTTCCCAGGCTCAAATGGTCCTCCTGCCTCAGCCTTCCAAATAACTAGGACCACAGGTGCACACCATCATGCCTGGCTAATTTTTGTATGTTTTGTAGAGATGAGGTTTGCCCAGGCTGGTCTTGAACTCCTGGGCTAAAGCTCTCTGCCTGTCTAGGACTCCCAAAGTCCTGGGATTACAGGGATGACCACCATGCCCAGCCAAAAATCTTTTTGATATCTTTTCTCCCATACCTTCTTCCGTGTTCCCCGATCCCAACACATCCACAAAGACAGCTTGATTCTTCCAGTTTTATACTCAGAAGCATGCAGCAGGCCTTGTACTCAAACAAGAACTGGGCTTCTCAGAACAAGGACACAAGTTCTTTGTCTTTCCATTTTCCTCCTTGCTCCCCTCCACCCCTTCTTGTTGTTGGGGACAGCCTTTGTATAACATCCTTTGTTTGTTTAAGAGAATTAATTGCTATCCCCCAGTGCCCGTCAGTGTCTTTCAGGGGACCTCATGTAAATAAGTCTCCAGGTGGCCTGCTCTGATTTCTCAGAGTTACCAGAGGGGTAACATCCTGTTAGGACATTCATCAAGGATAACATTTAGTGAGGCCCGGAGCAGTGACTCATGCCTGTAATCTCAGCACTTCTGGAAGCCAATGCAAGATGATTGCTTGAGGCTAGGAATTTGAGACCTGCCTGGGCAATATAGCTAGACCCCATCTCTATGAAAAGTAAAAAGAATTAACCAGATGTAGTTGTGCGCACCTGTAGTCCTAGCTACTCAGGAGGCTGGGAGGATCCCTTAAGCCCAGGAGTTCAAGGTACAGCAAGCTATGGTCTTGCCGTTGTGCTGGGTAACAGAGCAAGAGCCTGTCTCGAAATAATAACAATATTATTATTATTATTATTATTAAGTCTAACCCCACTTGAAGCTTGCAGAAGTTACTGCACTTAAAGTACCCAGTTTAATAACGGAGCTGGTCAGTGCTTTGCTATGTTATGATGCATTGCCATTCAAAATGTCTTGTCTCCTAAAGGAATTTTCTCATGAGAATTATTTCTATTGACAGTGTCCCCTTTTTAGTAAGCAACTAGCATCTTTAGTAAGAAAGCTACCCAGTCTCTGAATTTGAGTTCATCCATCCATTCACCACGTATTCCTTTACACACATTAACTGAGAACCTATTTGGGGTACTACATGTAGAGGATTCCAGGTTAAGACTCACATTTCCCCTAATCTCACAGAGCTTACAGTCTAGCAGAAGATGCAATTACAATAATTTGCAATGCAGAGAGCAAAAGCTGCTTAGGGAAGGCTTCTCAGAGTCAGTTCCTGCAAAGTGGAGACCTAAAGGATTGGGGAGAATTAGCTAAGTAAAATGATGGGGGAAGGGAGGTGATAAAATGAGGTATAAAATACCGTGCAAACTGTGTAACTGAGGACGAGTAAAACTGTGTTATTAAACAGACATCCCTCCAGAGCTCTCCAGTCTCTGTCCCAGGTCTTCTTCCAGAAAACTCTCTATCTCTGCTCCTTTGACAGAATAAGACCCCTTTTAACCTGTGTAACTCTTGTTTTATATATGATTGTTTTATTGGTATTAGCACATTCTTGGGTTTGAGCTGGAGACAAGGGCCCATCTCTAATCAGGAGTGACCTGATTTTCATGTCAATTACCTGAGAAGAGATCATCAAACCAGATCCTGGGGCTTAGAGAGGGATGTAAGGGGATTGCAGAATGGGATTTTGTTTCCCGTTGTCTTGATCCTGAAGGATGAATGATGCATGTTAGTTAGGCAAGGGGTGGTTACAATAGTGTTTTATACATTGTTTTGTGATTGAGATCCACAGTATGAAACACATTTAACATTGCTACCCAGAATACTCACATGTGGCTGAAAGTTTCCCTTCATTTGTGTTTTGGGAAATAACACATGTGATACAATCTGGTATTTTATATTTTGGATTGTGATTAGTGTTTTCCAGAGTGGCTACCCTTTTGGATCACAAAATCAACTTAGTGGGTCATGATGACCACCTTAAAAAATGAAATAAAGCAGTCATGCAGAGATAGGAAATAGCAAAGAAGATACCCATACATAGTGGTCAGTCTTTTGGAGCTAAGTTTGCATTTTGGACTTCCTAAGACCCTCTGTTTCTTGCATGATTTGTGTGTGGTTGTATGAAACTCGATAGAGATTAGTGGTTCTGGCTGTGGGTTCTGAAGTATGAAGTCCGGAATCTTGACTGTGTTACTCAGCAGCTGTGTGACAGGGGCACTTGACCTACTTACCTTGTATTTAAAATGGGGATAATAACAGTTCTTTTTTTTTTCTAACATGGATCATAGAAACAAAACAGTTCTTATCTAGTTGCAAAGAATTAAATAACGCAGTGTTTGGCACTGAATCAACACTCAGGAAACATTAGCCTTTATATTTCTTTCACCTTTATTTTCCCCAAATATTAAGTACTCTGTTTTGTTTTAATTCAGCTTTTCTCAGCTTGCTAAGTAGGACCAAAGGAAGAGATACCTGTACTGACATAGAGGGCTCTGGAAGCCAGATTGCTACGGGTAGCAGATATCAAAGAGAAAGAATCACAAGGGGAAACTGAAAACCCAAAGGCCGTAGTGGAGGGCCTCGGTCCTTCCAGTGCCAAACCTTGAAGGTCCAGGGTTTCATTTTTTTAAAGAAAGCAGTTCTTCTCTTTAATAACAACACTTTTGACCCTAGCTTCTCGATACTTGTCTAGATCAAATTCCAGTTTGTTGAAGAAACTTGACTCAATCTGAGTGTATATTTTCCAACAAATTTCTACTTGACATTCCTTGAGGTTGCGATCCTTGCTTGGGTACTTTTACTGTCGGCCATCTTTTGTTCACTGCATTTACTTCTTTCCTGCATTTGGCAAAACAGGAATACCTGGGATTTCAAGAGAAAGTATATTGAACAATATAATGAGAAGAAAAGAATATCTTCTACAATACCACCTTTCAGAAGTAAAAGTATTCTACAGTAAAATCATTTAATACATTTGGTGTATGCTTCTTACCCATTCCCACGCCAAAAAATAACAGTTGACATGTACCTGTCAAACACCCCCATAAGGTGTACCTAGAAATTCACTTAAAAAATTTTTAGAAATGATATATATAAAACATTTTATAAACATGTAAACTATGAAATTAACAATTTAAAGGTTTCTTAAAATTGTTCTGCAAGGAAAAACGTAAATATCACTGTTTTAAAAATATGCAGAACTTTTAAAAATGTTAATTTTACTATACCTCTGCTCTACAGAAAAACCTTTTTACAATTATGTACAGACTTCACAAATTTCTCTTACATCATCTGATGATTACTAAAACTATTTGATATTCAAATAAAATATACAAGTATTTTCTAAATCAGAACATTTAAAAACACTTTGCTTATGTAGATTTTTCTGGAATAATGTTTATTTTTAACCAACTCGGATCTCGAATTAAAAGCTAATATTCCTGTCATCACTCTTTCTTATAAAAATACCACAGCATTTTCAATGAGAGTGTAAACAAACCATTGTTTCAGGTTTTATTTACAACTGGAGCTGCCTTGCAAAATCCCTGGCCTGGCCATCTGCCGTGGTTCCAAATATGTTTATAAAAGTGAACCTTGCCATTTTCAATACTTCCTCCTTTGGGTCTATTTATTCCGAGGCCTGTTTTTCTCATTCTTTTAAACTTTTTTCCCCAGAACAGATTTGTGTGAGCCACTTTTTACCATAACATTTGTTTTTTCTGCTTATGAGGGGGTAAGATTCCACAAGCCAGAAATAATCTGTTAATATTTTGTTGTCAGTTCTTGGAGCCTTCATTTTTTTCCGCCTACAGAGCCCTTTTCTAACCAGAACTCATTGTTTCTGAGGGCATAAAAGAGCAGAGAGGGCGGGCGCGGTGGCTCACGCCTGTAATCCCAGCACTTTGGGAGGCCGAGGTGGGCGGATCATGAGGTTAGCAGTTCGAGACCAGTCCGACCAACATGGTGAAACTCCGTCTCTATTAAAAATACACAAATTAGCCTGGCGTGGTGGTGGGCGCCTGTAATCCCAGCTATTCAGGAGCCTGAAGCAGGAGAAACGCTTGAACCCAGGAGGCGGAGATGGCAGTGAGACAAGATCGCGCCCCTGCACTCCAGCTTGGGCGACAGAGCAAGATTCGGTCTCAAACAAAAAGGCTGAGGGCTGCGCTTGGACACAGGAAGGTATCGTCACGTGAGTGGGTGGGGAGCCGGAAAGTTTGCCCTGGCGAAGAAGTGAACATGTTTATCCGATCACCGTTTGTTAACCTTAAGAGAGGTGAACGGCAACCTGTAAGCAGCTTCAGCGAGCCGAAAGGGGAAATTTAGCAGGAAGGTTAGAAGCTGAAATCTGCAAGGAACTGGCTAGGCTGGAGGCGGCGCCTGGCAGGAGGGGAAGGTGGGGGCCCGCGGGCGCCTGGAGCCTGTAGCCGGAGCCGGAAGGGCGGGACTCAGGGGCGGGGCCTAACTGGGCATGGGACGGGTCTAGCTACGAGATGGGCGGGGCCTGCTCCTGGTCTGGGCGGAGTGTGGCGGGAGACGCGCCGAGCCCGGGCGGAGTGAGGGACCCTGAGAGCTGTCTTCTCAGGGCTGAGGACCTCCTCCCCCGGCACCTGGAGAGCAAACGGCTGTTTCCACACGTGGAGAACATTAAAAGAACACGTGAGGAAATATCTATGGAAAAACCACCTCACAACCCTGGCGTCCTACTCCAGCCCCCAGGGCGACAGCTTGTTTGCCGTATTCCAGACGGTCTCCATCCCTTTTTGTCGGCCCCTTCTCTCTAACCCCAGCTTCAGGCTTTGAGGGAAGCTTTCATAGAGCAGCCGCCGCTGCAGGCGCCCCGAACGGCGAAGCCCACCGGCATGCAGGCGCTGAGGCCGTCTGCGCCTGTGCGCGGGGTCCGTGACTGGGTGGTGCGTGCAGCTCGGGGGCGTGTCTCCCACCGCGGCGCCGGGGGGCGGGGCGAGGGCGGAGCCTGGGGGCCGAGAGGCCCGCGCCCCTCCCGCGGCCTGACCTCCCGGAACGCTCGGCTGGTGACGTCACCCCGCCGTGACGCGCACGCAGTAGGAAAACTGTAAGTTTACGAGGATTGCTGCAGCTCTTTGGGCTCGCGGGGCCCGCCGTCTGCTGGCAGTCCCGGCGGTGGTGGTGGCTGTGGGGGCGTCAGTTCTTTGGGGAGCAGCGGAACGTGGCGAAGGGACATGCGCCTGCTCAGAGTGGCAGCGCGCCCTGCTGGGCGGGAGGGACCCGGGGTGCGGGAGGCGAGGCCGCGCCCCGCCTGGCAGGGCCAGCGCCTTTTCCCCTGGGGCAGGGAGCGTCTTCCACCCGGGGAGCGAGGCCTTAGAAGGGGCGGAAAGTCCAAATGGAGAGTCTGTTTTTTTCTTCTGTGATGAAGGGACTTGGATTGCTCTTCTTCCCCTACTCAACCCTGGAGTTTGACACGTTAAGTCGGGGATGGAGGCTTCTTCTCAGAGACTAGGAATCCTATGTCCTGGCCGTTGGGATCCTACAAGTGACCAACCCGTCGTGGACACAAAAAGAAACTGAAGCAGCAAAATAACCACTTGCTGCCTCAGTTTTCTTTCTGTGTAAAATGGAAGTACAGCAGCCTCTGGCCTCCCTAATGGTCGTTCCCACAGCACTGGGAACACGTGAGATAACCCAAGTGTGTACATTTGCTAGGAGAAAGCTTATACACAGACACTTGGTTATTCTGAGGAATGTGGTGGCCACTGGCCATTTGACCAGGAATCTTCAAGCCAGAGAACTTTTAACTATTTTGCCTACCCCCTACAACCTTCCCTTCATCTGATCCTTTACCACACTGGAGCCGGTTTGGTGATCTGAACTGTTGTCACTAAACTTGATAAAATGGGGATCAAGAAATAATAGGTATCTTTAGCACGTTACTCTTGGTGATTACAATGCCCCCCTCTTCCGGGTTTTGCAGAGGAAGCTTTCACTATGCTGGACTAGCACATTATACCCAACACAGACACACTGAGTTTTAAGGGTTGCTGTATTGATTTGGAATACCCAATAATCCTATCTGATTGCTTGAATATTTTGGCCAAGGGGTTGTACATTATCGATGAGTTATTACTAGACTTTAATGCCTCTCAAACTGCAGGACGAGTATTCCTCAGGAACTTTGAAGGGAAGAGTACTGTGCACCCTTCAGGATATGTTTATACAGGAGCTCGAGAGTTCACATTTCTGTAAGTTCATTTCAGGGGTGTGATATCCTTTCATCCTGGTAGGAGGAGCCTTGAAATCAGAAAGCAGGGCTTCTAATCTTTGTTCTATTCGTTAACTAGCTTCGTGTCCAAGGACAAGTCACCCAAACTTGGAACTTTGTTTTTCTTATCTAAAATGGGAGCTGATAGTATGTCTGCTGTTGGTTTTTCCAGCATCAAATGAGATCACGAGTGTGCTTTCTAAGTGTGCTATTGTTATTAGGAGATTTGCATTTGGTCCCCTAGCCTGGATGAAGTGTGAGTCAGAAATCTCTAGAAATAGAGCAGCAAAGAAGACGGTCTCCAGCCTAGCTGGGCTCATGTTGCAGTGGGAAATAGACAGTAAACAATAAATACATAATGTAATTTCAGATAGCCGTAAGGGCAGTGAAGGAAAGAGAAGGACAGCGGGGGAACAGGGAAGGTGGTTTTTGGTAGGATCTGTCAGGAAAAGCCATTCAAAGGCAGGGACACTTGAATCAATTGAAGTGTGATGGAAGGAGCCTGAGATAAGAACATTTCAGAGAGGAATAATAAAAGCAATGAACACGTTAAAAAAAAAAAGTAGCGCTTACCATATGTAAGGCAGTGTTCTGAACACTAAATTTTTACAACAGTCTTACGAGACAACCTAGTATCTCCATTTTATGATGAAGCAACTGACACACAGAAAGGTTAAGAATTTGCCAAAGGTTGCGCAGCTAAAACGTGGTAGAGACTATTTGAATGTGGGCAGCCTGACCTCAGAGTCCAGGCACCAGGCAACTGTATTTTCGGCCTCACAGCAGAACACAGGACAATGCTCTGAGGTGGAACCAAGCCTGAGGTGGTCCAGACACAGTGAGAGTGTTTAGAGCGCAGCAGGGCAGGGGGAAGTGGTGGCTGATGATGGTCAAGGGCCAGGCAAGTCATGGGGTCTCTTGTAGGCTGTGGTGAAGTAATGATGTTCTTCTAAGTATGATGGAAAACCACTAGAAGATTTGCATCAAGGGAATGGCCGTCTGATTTAAGTTTGATTGCATGGAGAATTAACTGTAGTTTAGAGTGGGTGGGGTGGAGTGAAAATGGGGAGAGGAAGCCGCTGTGCCCTGTGGGTGAGATGATGGTGGTTCGAGCTGGGGGAGGTAGTTGTGGAGATGGCGGTGGGCGGCAGCATGGGTGGTGTGTATCGAAGGTAGAGCTGACTGGACCAGCTGATGTGGAATGTGAGGAAAAGGGAGAAGTGATGACTTAGGTTTAGGCTGGAACAGCTAGATGTGCAGCGGTGCTGTCCACTGAGGACAGCTACAAATTTAGTTTTGCACAAGTTCTAAATGCCTGTTAGAAATAGTCGTAACAATAGTGCTAGTAAAAATAGTAAGTACTATGTCAGTGTAAACTGAGTCCCAGACAGAATTTTAAGTACTTTTACCTGTATTAATTCATTTAATCATTGTGAGAATTATATATACAAGGAACCATTATTGTCCCCATTTTACACACGAGAAAATAGGCACAAAGGTTGTAAGTGACTTGTCTGAAGTCACCCAGCTTGTGAGTCATGTAGCTAGGATTCAAACCTAAGCAGTATGGCTTTGGAGTCCATGCATTGAATCCCTCTAACCACCTCCAAGTGAGCATGTTGAGTATGCATGCCTGTGAATTCAAGGGAATGATCAGGGTTGGAGATACCCATTTATTTTTCTTAAGAGAAAGCCTGCTTTTGTTCTTCATCTAAGCTTTGGCTGACCGTGGGAGAAAGATCATACATAGGCAGAGGGACTGTGCTAATTGGCCTTTCATTATGTACCTGACGGGGTTCATGCAGCCAGTATCTGGTATTCCCCTGCCTGTTCCCCCACTGTAGCTTCCATGGGGCAAGGTCTGTTTCTTTAACTTCTCCATCTCTAGTCCCTAATCCAGTGCCTGCTGCGTAGTAGATGTTAGGAATGACTTTATATGCTGGGCATTTGCTTAGGTTTTGGAAGTTCAGAGATGAATAAAACATAGTTCTTTCCCTAGAGGAGCAGAGTATGAGGGAAAACCTTGGGAATAAGATTAGACTAAATGCATAAATACATGCTGATTAGTTCATTCTGGTTTACTGCCCCCTCTCCTCCCTGGCTTCCATGACTTGTGAGATGGGGGCATGAAAAGGGCAAAGGGGCAAAAGAATGCCTAAGCAGTTGCAGGATGAAGCTGAGGCTCCCCGGGAGTCCTTTTCAGCAAAAGAATTACTCAAAATCATGCATATTTTACTTTATTTGCATAGTTTTATTTGGCAATGATAAGATTTTTACCAAATGAAGTAAATTCCGATATTTGACTATCCTTGTGGAGTGATGAGTTTTTCCAGTTCTATTACCTTAGTGTTGACAGGACTCACCAGTGAAATAAGAGAGTTGCTTGAAATGTTGCAGTTTGCATAATAGAGGATGATAGAGGCGCTAGGTGAAGTATTCAAGCAGGTTTCCACCAGTTTAAGTGTATCATGCCAAAGTTCCACATGTTGGAATAAGTTTGCGTTTCTCTGCTGAACCTCGCTTTAACGTTGACATGTATTTTTTTTTGTCATGAAAGGGGATCTGGTGATATGTGTCATGGGTGGAATTGCAGGTTACATCTCGTGTAGCTGGAACACTGTAGAGAACGTGGAGACTAGAACAATAGAAACAAAAAAAGATGTGTCTTGTTCCTGTAGATCTCTTTCACAGCATACCATAACCTCAATAGCTGTCACAATTTTATTACTTTCTAACATGAGTATTTCAAATTTAAATCACTTAAAGATTATATAAAATTGCACTGTTGTAGATTTTGTGGTTAATTTCAGAATTTTTTTCTTAAAACATAAAATTATATTTTGTTTTAAGCTTTCATTGGGAAAGTACATTACTCTAAACAGGAACCCTCTATTAACATAAATGTAGAGGGGTGTCATCTCATTTTGCAGTTCACAACATTTTAAATCTGCTCTAGTAGCTTCTTTAAATTTAATGGGGTTGAAATGATTAGCATTTATTTACACCACATTTGCAGTAAGTTTCCCAGGAACATCAGATACCCATATATGGTATAAAGTAAAATTGCGTATTAAAATAGCCTGTTGAGGCTCAGGCATTATTGACTTTTAAGTTCAGGCTCAGTGAGGGCAGTTGGATGGTCATTTAATTGTGTCAGGTAACTCCCAGCAGAGGGGGAGTGATGCTAAGTTCTATTTGAAAACAACAGAAGCCATTGTTTTTAACACTGACCATATAAAATGCAACATCCTAGATAGTAAATAAAATTCAGATTCCTTTTAAAATTTACATTTGCACAAGCAAATTTTAAACTTTTGAGTACATATATATATATGAAGATTGTTTATTGTGGAAAACAGTGTGTCTAACCCAGTGATAGTACATATTGAGCATTTAAATGTAATTCCTAATAGACTGCTTCTTGCAGTCACTTTTATTTTGCGTATTATCTTCAACTCTAGCTATTTGTAGTAATAGCTGGATGCTTGTTTATATACTTTACACTGTAAATGTTTGCATATATTTAAATAATTTATATAAATAGCACTTATTTTTGCTTCATTTCACATTTAGTTGCTTAGACATTAAAATCTTTAGATTTGATTCCGCCTCCACTGACATAACACTAATGGCTAATAATTAGTAAGTCTAGGTGGAACTAAGCTTTAGTGAAAGGTTAACTAAATTATAACCCCAAAAGAACACCCAGAAAAAAATTTGTAGGGAATATTAAGCAAAACCAGTATGTCCATGAAAGGAATAATTTAACCATAACTATGTAGCTAATCATTCTTCAAGTTGTTACCATTCTACAGGGAGTATTTGCTTATTTGGTTCTTAAATTGCAAAGCTGTTAGTTTCAAGCTGCATTGCAAGCCACCAATCAGTGTGTGATAAATATTGGAAGGCGATACTAGGGGTTTAGCCCAGTACATCTCAACTCAGAATGATTTTGTCCTTTCCAGCACACCCTGGGGACATTTGTCAAGAAGACATTTTTGGTTGCCACATTTGTGTTTGAGGGCATCACTCCCAGCATCTAGTGGATTGAGGCCATTATAGCATGCTGTTGAATGTCCTGCAATGTACAGGACAACTTGTCAACAACAGAAACTTATCCAGTTGAAAATGTCAGTGCTCCTAATGTTGAGAAATCCTGTAGTATCTTTTCTCCCTTCCTTCCTTCTGTTCTTCTTCTTCTTCTTCTTTTTTTTTTAAATGCTTTAGAAATGGAGGTGGTGCTTTAAGTGGCAAATGCGTGACTTGGACAAAGGATCGTGTTGTACTGCTTTTAGTTTGTTGGATAGCTGAGCTATTTGGTTCATTTACTAAATGGAAAATAATTCTTGAACTCAATAGTAGCCTTGAATTGTTTTTGGTTGCTAGCGTGTCTGGTGTTTTTGTGTTTGTTTTTAGCTATGAATATTTTTCTTACTAAATTTAATCTGGACATTATATCATCCTGGATTGTAACAGGTTTCCTAGTGTGAATTCCCTTCATTGTTGTATATATTAAATTAGCTGTCTCACAGTTTCATGGTTTATATCTATCAAAATCCTTTTCACATTAATTTTCAATTTTGTTACAAACAGCCCATTAAATGTATAGGGCAGGCATTATCCTCACTATTAGACCAGTGAAGAAACAGACTTAGGTCAAGTGACTTTCCATATGTGTTAGCAAGTTAGTGATGAAAGCAAATCTAGGACTTTATTCCTAGGAATCTTTTAAGTTACCAGTTTCTGTTACACCATTTAATCCTGGCTACTATGAAATAGTTACTTCTCTCATTTTATAGAAAAGGAAACTGGTTTAGAGATGTTAAATAACCTATTTAATGTCATCCAACTCATAGTGTAGTTTGGCTGTTTCCACTGAGCTATGTATGCTGCGTCTCCAGATACTCTCCAATAAATAAATATGACAATTTCTGGATAAATTCACAAAAGCGTTGCCTAACTTAATTAAATAGGTCTCTTGACACTCGTGTTGCCACCTGAATCAGTTGGTGATTCAGTGTTTGTAAGCCCACTCTAATTTGACTTAAATAGAAACTTAACTGAGTTTTGGTAAACCATACTTGCTGGGTGGGGAGAACCATGCTTGCAGATCACTGTTTTGTTTTGTGTTAGCAGTCAGAAATGTTTTTATATAGAGTTTTGAAGAAGCATAGAGTTTGAGATTGGCTCATTTTGAAAAGTGTGAACATTTGAGGATTGGCCAGCTTTAAACTTAGAGTTTAGACACTGACTGGCTTTGAGGAGCCCAGGTACTGAAGTCGGGCAATTGCTGATTGGCTTACTTTCTTGCCTAAGTACTTAAGTAGAAATGCTCAGTAGACTTTAAGGATTGATTGATTGGGGTAGATTTAAAACTGGCTTTGTGGTTGTTTCCAGCTTAGGACTAGAGCCAAAGAACAATCTTTTCCTTTCTTGAAGTTGAAAAATACATACTTTTTATGTCAAACATGTTAATGTTAGCTATGGTGCTAATAATATAACATACTTTTGATTTTGCTTTTCCTCTGAAACTGAAAAGAAAAATGGATCCACAAATATCACTTGTTTTCTGTCTATCAGTTTCAGGGTAATATAGTTGGGACTCAGGCTGCTTCAAGGATTATTTTTATGTATAGGTCAAAAGGTAATATGTTATTTGTGGAAATATATTAATGCTTTAAAAATTATGGGGAAGGGTGTGTTCCTTTTATGTCTATTTTTCTCTCTTGTGGGAGTGTGTTGTATTATGTGCCTGCCAAAATTAGTCTTGATAGATGCTGAGTTATAGATCTAGAAGTTTATTGTTTTTGCTGTTATTAGAGATACAGCTAGAAGTGATTACTTTTTGAAAGTTAGTTGGCAGTTACTCTTACCAACATTATGAAGGTTTAATGGTTATGTTGCATATGTTTTATAGAACAAGGCAAGCTAAATATTTTAGTATTTGCAAATCATGTCACTACAATTATAACGTAGTACCATTTGTATAAAGTATTAGGTTGGTACAAAAGCAATCGTGGTTTTGGACTGTGAATTTTAAATCATTATAACTAGGCTCAAACACATCTTTATTAATCAGAATAGGAAGCATTACAGTCAGCACATTTTTGCCAATGAGAAGTAAGTTTGTTTATTCCTGTAGCTTAAAAATTCATGCTTTGGGATTTAATGAACTCTTGGAAAGCATTTTCTGCATCCTGCTGGTTTTGGAAGCATTTTCCTTTCAAAAAGTTGTCAAGATGCTTGAAGAAGTGGTAGTTGGTTGACAAGATGTCAGGTGACTGTGGCAGATGAGGCAAAACTTCATAGCCCAATTCATCCAACTTTCGAAGTGTTAGTTGTGTATCACATGGTTGGACACTGTCGTGGAGAAGAAATTGGCCCTTTCTGTTGACCAATGCTGGCTGCAGGCATTGCAGCACTGATTTGCTGAGCATACTTCTCAGATGTAATGGTTTCACCAGGATTCAGACAGCTGTAGTGGACCCGGTGTGGTGCCTCATGCCTATAATCCCAGCACTTTGGGAGGTCAAGGTGATGGGTGGATCACCTGAGGTCAGGAGTTCAAGACCAGCCTGGCCCACATGTTGAAACCCCATCTCTACTAAAAGTACAAAATTAGCCAGGCATGGTGGCATGCACCTGTAACTCTAGCTACTTGGGAGGCTGAGTCAGGAGACTTGCGTGAACCTGCAAGGCGGAGGCTGCAGTGAGTTGAGATCGCACCATTGCATTCCAGCGAGGGTGACAGAGTAAGACTATGTCTCAAAAAAAAAAAACAAAAAACAAAAAACAAAACAAAAACTATAGTGGATCAGACCAGCAGCAGACCACCAAACAGTGACTATGACCTTTTATTGGTGCAAGTTTGGTTTTGGGAAGTGCTTTGGAGCTTCTTGGTCCAACTCTGAGCTGGTCATTGCCAGTTGTCATATAAAATCCACTTTTTGTCATATGTCACAATCCACTTGAGACATGGTTCATTGTTTTTGTGTAGAATAAGACGACACTTCAAAATGACAGATTTTAAAAATTTTCACTTAGCTCCTGAGTCACCCACCTGTCAAGCTTTTTCAACTTTCCAGTTTGCATCAAAGGCTCTTTGGCAACTTCTCAGGTAGCTGTAAGATGATCAGCTTCAATGATTACTCTCGATTGGTCATTTTCAGTTTCTGATGGCCGGCCAATATGTTCCTCATTTTCAAGTCTCCTTTGCAGAACTTCTTGAACCACGTCAGACTTTCGTTAGCAGTTCCAGGGCCAAATGTGTTGTTGACGTTGCGAGTTGTCTCCGCTGCTTTATGAACCATTCTGAACTCAAGAAAATTGCCGAAATTTGCTATTTAGACTATGGAACCATCATTCTCATAGTCTAAAATAAACAGCAAGTGATAAGTCATTAGGAAAAAATTATAAAGTGAGAAATGCCCATTAAAATGATGTATAGCATGACCACATTTATTTAAGAATGTATTCTAGTATCAAATGGCAAATTCCAACAATGTAAAACCTTCAGTTAACATCTGCAACAACCTAATATTTCGGTTGTTTAACATTTATTTAGAATAGTTTTCTTTTTCAGAGTGAAGTAACTACTGTACTATGTATAACTATTTACTGTAACTGTGACAAAACATTTTTCTAAATTGGTCTTTCACAGTAATATTTTAAATTATTTTTTTCCTATGGAGATGTTAAAATTAGAGCATTCATTATCTTAGCAGTTATAGAAGTCAGAATGAGTTTTTGTTGTAATTTCTTTTTTGTATTGAAGTTTTATTTTTAAGTGCCCTAAGTGTTGTCTGTATTTACATATGTAATAAGCTCGTAACTGTTAAAAAATGGGTGCTGTTGTAAGCCGAGAGGGCACCGCTGCGCTCCAGCCTGGGTGACAGAGTGAGACCCTGTTTCAGAGAAAAAAAAGGGTGCTGTTTTATATGCAGCCACTATTTTCTTCCTTAACCTACAGCTTTTGTGTCATACCTTCATTCCTGCCTTTCACATAGGAATACTCCAGTGGTAAAACTATGTATGTGATTTAGATATTTTTGTGGGAAAACTTTAAAAATGTGAAGTCTGACTCTTGTCTTTGTTGACAGACCAAATTTCTGACCTGTATGAGAGTTAACCTTACAAAGTTAATCTTAGCCTAGTATGAAAATTAATACTATAGTTAATATATTATAAAATTATTTATAATATTATAATATAACATTAACATTATAAACAATATGGAATATTGTTTTTGACAGAGCTGTTGTTTAACTACTAAAAGATATTCAAACATTGTTATCTAACATTTAAACTTTATAAATTTTTACTAAAGAGAAATAAGAAAAATCCTTTTTATCTGGGAATGCAAGCTCCTTTAAATTATCAGGCCCAGAAAGGCATTTAAAATGTAACAGCAGTCACATTGCATTCCCCCTAGAGCTAAATAATGACCTCTTCAAGCTGCTTGCTAGTGGCGCTCCAGACTAACTGACGCCAAGTACCCATAAAATGCCATATACCCTGTAGTTCAAGAACATATAGCCAATCACCAAGCAATGTTATTTTTGTAAACCAATGAGAATTTCTGATGAACAGTTTTTGTAATTGCCCCCTCTCCTGATTTGTCCTTTTTTCTTTAAAAACTTGAGCCTCTTTTTTGTTTTCTGGAGCATTCAGCTAGGCAACTTGGAAATATGTCCCTGGCTGCAGCCCTCAACATTTGTGCTTGAATAAACTCCTAAACTACAATCTGACCCTTTTGATTATTTTAGGTTGACACTAAATATGTACTTAAAATTCCTAGGAAAAAATTGATTCCTGAATATGGTTACTAGGATTATTCTTGTTATCTGCAGTATGAAATAAATGGATTTGAAATGTGTTTTTTCCTGTGTACATGCAGTGAATAGTTGGGCTCTTATTTGCCTAGTGACATGATAAAGAATCCTAGGTTAGGTTATCCTCTGTAGTAAAATGGAAAAAAAGAGTTACGTGTTCTTCAATAAAAGCTTTATGCATTTTTTAAATTACTAGTGAGTGAGAGTGAGATTCTCTTCATTCACTTGTTAGACATACGGATTTCACTTACAGTTCCAAATTTAGCAAATAAAAATACAGATACCTTGTTGAATTTGAATTTCAGCTAAGCAACAAATAATTTTTTAGTGTAAGTATTGGTCATGCAATATGCAGGACACATTTCTCTGAAAGACAATATATATTTATCTGAAACTCAGATTCAATAGGGCATCCTGTATATTATCTGGCAACCTTCATTTCACTTCCTGTGAATTGTCTGCCTATGCCTTTTTGTCAGATTTTCAGTTGTACTTTCTATCTTTAGGTTGTTGTTTTTGCAACAGTTCTTGGCATACACTGGATTTTATTCCCTTGTCTTTTTTAGATGTTTGCAAGCATATTCCTTCAGTCGTTTGCCTATCTTCTAATTTTGTTCGTGGTGTCCAATTCATCAAAGTTTACCCCATCAAAATGTTTCCATGTTTGTGCTTTTGAGATGTTGGAGAAATCTTTCATCATCCCAAGGTTGCAAATATGTTATTTTTTCTTTCATTAGCGTTATAGTTTTACCTTTTATATATTGGTTTTTAATACATTTGGTATTTATTTTATGGGAGGAATATTAGGAGATGAGGTTAGAGAGGCAATGAAGGGGCACCTTG